TTTTTTTTTTTGTAGCAAGAATAAAAGGCTGAGATTGAATAGAGAAAAATTCATGTGAAAAATAATTCAATTTTACCAAAAAAAGTAGAGAAAAAAGAAAATCATTTTTTTGATAATTTAAAAAGTTTAAAAGATTTTTTTGTTTCTTTTTTTTAATGACTTAATAATGAAATATTGATAGAAACAAGTGAAACATCAAGTTGTAGACCCGTTTCAAACAAAGCTCTACAGCTACATATCAAAAGAAAAAAATAAATTACTGTCGAGGAATAAATGACAAAGATTCACCGAATAGAAAAGTTTGCACAGCGATGACGATGTTCAGCTGTATCAGTCAGTATCCGTACAACACCATCATTCACCATTGCCATCAGCATCGATCACAACATCCTTAAACTTTTTCAAGACGTTCTTTGGTTTTACGTGTTATGCTACGGCAGACTTCAGCAGCTTTTTCTGCAGCTCGAGCTTCCTGTATGATCAGTTTCGCTGGCAATAGCCGAAACTGGAATTTTGGTTGCACAAATTGACATGTATAGGATATCAGATTCATGCATGAGATATATTCGTCCACCAACGCATTTTGGCATTCTTCGACATCACTAAAATCCAGCAAATAATAGTGAAAAAAAAACAGCAACAAAAGCAGTAAAAAATTTCAGTATCAAAGCATTTCAATTTTAATTCATACAGCAACTTACAGTAAAAAAAATGATGACTTGTCGGCTTTAGAATTAAAAGAAACAAGTATACCGAAGAAAAGCAAAATCTTTATACTGCTGTTCTAAAATACTTAAAAAGAAAAAGGCAAAGAAAGAATTTGCTAAAATTCAAGCTAAAACAGCATACCTTTTTGCAAAACTGGCAATTTTTTTGAACAGTGCATCAACTTCATCCCAGTGTCTAGTCTTTTCCTTACGTTGACATTCCAAAAGACGGTGCAAAATTACCTCAGCCAGTCGTCCATCTTTCCCGCTCTTTAGTACTTTGACCGGGAATTTTCGTCTGAAGTCAACGGCCAATCCTCGCAAATCTTTCGCACATTCTTAAGCAAGAAATAAAAAATTAGTAATTGATAACAATAACTAATGTTTCAAATTTATAAAAAGCAATAAATACATAAAATTGTATTTGTCATTATATGCTCCATTCTTTCTGTCACTTTCTCCTCATGAATAGAATTCAATCTCTTTTTTCACTGGAGCAAAACTTTTCACCTCATATTCAAAGTGTAATAGGATAGACGATCAATTTCAACGACTTCAATATTTATTCTGACTATCTGTTTATCAAGTGTATACATATACGTATACTAACACTAAGATTTACAATTACCTAGTGCCTTCAATTAAAATTTTATGTCATAAAGAATACAGTGGAAAATAGAGTAAAGTATGATAGAACTCTTAGTTTTTTCCACCTCTTCTCCTTCTCCAAAGCAGTTTTTTTCCCACTTATTAATATATTTACCTATAAATATGTCAATGTGTAGCCTTTGAGATGTGTAACAATATTAGTTGAATTAGTAGAAATAAGATGAAAAAAGGGGAAAAAAATTGTAGTTTGTATTAGCTAAACAACAAAATGACTGGTCAGAATTTTTAACAAAAAAGCTAAAAAGTCTTTTATGCTAAAATTTAGTTAATGTAACTGATTTCAACTGTACTTTTGCTTTTATTTCTTTGTCTTCATCTCTGATTTTTTTTTTTGTTTTTGTTTTTACTCTGATACATTAGTTGTCTTTTAGTTGGAATTAAAATACCCAATTTTTCGACAGTGTTTAATCAAATTTTGACTAAAAAATATTTCTCTTTTTGTTTAAGCAAAAAACTAAATCTCAAAGAAAATAGTGCATATTAGAGATATCACAAAAAAAATATATAAAAAAACAACAAATTGCCACAAATCTGTATCAATCAAACTTTTTTTTTCGGCTCTTATCAGTTGACAGTAATATTTGCAGCGGTAACAGTTGTTAACTTTTTCAAAACTTAGACTACTGAAACCATTATTGCCACCAAAATCAGCAAAAATTAAATTTTATTGTTCTAATTTTTTGGCTTTTTTAGATATTAAACGACTATCTGACCTTTATTAGCAGTAACAATATTTTGTATGATAAGCAAGACAAAAAAAAAAAAAAGGAAAACAAAACAAGAGAAAAAACACAAATACGTTGAAAGCTATGCAAAAGTATAAATAATGTAAAAAACAAAGATAAAAGAAAAGAAACTAAAAGCAAACAGAAGTGTTATTGCTGATTAGTAAATTTTGCTTGCCATCCCGATGGGTATTATTGCTTTCTGAGAAAAAGTTTCTACAATTTTTTACAGAAAAAGTTTTTTTTCTTTGGATTGCTCTTTCTTACCGACAATGCAATTGAGCATTGATTACAGTTATGGTTTTATGCTTCAACCAAGGTTCCCATTGATTGGTGCAGCAATGTTCATCTGAATCACATCATTTTCGATGCTGTTTTTGGTACCAGTGTTTATTACCGTTGTCGGTGCTGTGGAATGACATGTCTGAATATGTCGATCAAAAACTACTATGACGGCGCCGTCATTTGTGAGGAGATGTGGAGATGGCAAAGACAAAGGTTGGAGGGGAATGTAGTAAAAAATGATTGACTTTTGATGTTTGATCACATTGAAGCCTTTTCTTCCAATTTTTAAGCCCCAAAACAAAACTAAAACAGTAGTTTTATCATTCAAACAATTCATCGTCTTTTCACTCTGCAAACATAACTTTAAAGGTAATAGAAACTAAAAAAAGGTCAAAATCACAGGCAACAAATATTCTGAAGAAATTCTTCTCTAGAACCGTTCCCAACCAAGCTAGTAAATCTCATCCTGGTTTAAACTGTTTGACTGCGTAACAACTGAATCTCGGAAGCCATAGCAAGAAAGAGATCAGCTGGGAGTTTAAAGGTGGCCACTACTCCAACTTCTTGTGCATTTATTCGTTCAACCACTTTTCCTCACCTCCACCCTCAATTTTGTCCATCTGTTTAATCCCCACTAACCACTTCTTGCCCACTGGTCCAACGTTATCGGCTTATCCGCCTCAAAATTATAAATATTTGCTGCTTTTTTTTTTGCCTGTCAAACAATTGTTTGTAACTATTATAGACAAAGAAAAATTTTTTTGCAACTGTTTTAATTATTTGCTAAGAAAAAGTTGAGCAGAAAAAAAAGGAAGAAAAAATAACGACGAAAATGAAATTTTGGCGTGAGAAAGTTTAAAGAGAAAGGGAAATTTTTTTGGCCTTTTTTTTAGAGGGGGGGAGGGGGGGGAACGGAAGAACGGGGTTGCGATTGAAAATCGGTGAAAGGGGAAGCAGATTACGTCAGATGTCGAAAAACAATTTCAACAGAACATCTGAATCCGTGTTGCTATTAAAATCTAGTCATTTTTAGTATCCACGTTAACAATACAATTGTGATACAATTGTAATGTTACGGTCACTGTAACCGAACGATCTGTTTGATAACACTCCGAAGAAAATTAAACTGTCGTCAAAAGTTGGCAAAAAGAAAAAAATTGAGCATCCAATAACAACAAAAGGAAAAAAAGAAGAAGAAGAATGGAGGAAATAAAAAAAAATAATAATAATCTGCCACTATCAAAATTTTATATTCTCTCATTCTGGTTTAATCTTACAAGCGGAGGGAGGCTGAAAAATATGTAAAACAGCGAAAAAGTTATTTATAATTTCTAATATTAAAGTTTTTCTAGCAGTAATCCAGTGCTGGCAGAGTTTTGGTATTTTGAAAAGTAAAATTTCGACTAAGTAAAGTTATCAAAAGTGGTTACTAAAAAATGGAATCGTGTCAAACGAGCAAAACCGAAGGAAACACTGCGGTAAACTGTGACCGTATCTTTAACATAGTGTTAACAAGACTGTTGTGCAACAACTTAATCCGGTGGGGACATTCTCGATTAAAGGAATGATACTTGCTTCTGAACACCTTTTTTTTTTT